TTTTCTGGGAATGGCCCACTTAAATTATTTGACCATTTTTCCTCCTGGACTATTTCCCTTTTAAAAAATCATTTATTTATAGTTGCATTATTTGTCATTTCTTTATCTTTTTAAAGTTTTTCCTTCAAGTTTGTTTCATTTTACTTTGGCTTTGGTACTTTTGTCATACAAAAGGGTTTAGCTTTAATATAGTTGGTTATATCCTTTGTCTATATGTCTCCATATATCCTTTGTCTTTATGGCTCCAGTTTTATATCTTGTTCTTCCCAAGCTTAGGATTATAAAAATATCATCCTATGTTTTCTTTTTTTTTAATTTTTTAAAGTTTTTATTTATTTTTGAGACAGAGAGAGACAGAGCATGAGCAGGGGAGGGGCAGAGAGAGGGGGAGACACAGAATCCGAAGCAGGCTCCAGGCTGTCAGCACAGAGCCCAATGCGGGGCTTGAACTCATGAACTCTGAGTTCATGACCTGAGCCAAAGTCAGATGCTTAACTGATTGAGCCACCCAGGTGCCCCTCATCCTGTATTTTCTTTTAGTGCTTTTACCATTTTATGGCCTATGATTTTCCCTCTAATCCATTTGAAACTTGTCATTTATGATGAAAGACAGGAATTTAACTTAATTTTATTACAAATAGGTAATTTATGGTTACCAATCTACGTAACTCCATTTATTGACTACGCTGATCTTTCTCCATTTAGAATGTTCCTGTTATCATAAATCCTATCAATACATATAGTGGGTCTAATTGTGCACTCTTGATTCCATTGTTTCCCACATTTCAATCACTTGAATATTCACCATTTCTGTTATGTTCCATTTATTTACTTAATATTTTAGCATAATACATTTAAGAAAATTTTTAATGTTTATCTATTCTTGAGAGAGAGAGAGAGAGACATAGTTCAAACAGGAGAGGGGCAGAGAGAGACAGAGGAAGACACAGAATCTGAAGTAGGCTCCAGGCTCTGAGCTGTCAGCACAGAGCCTGACACAGGGGTCAAACTCACAAACCGCGAGATCATGACCTGAGCCAAAGTTGGACGCCTAATCGACTGAGCCACCCAGGCACCCCAAGCGTAATACATTTTAAAATTAAATACCTACTTCTGCATCATCCTAAGCACATAAAATCATAGGTTTAAATTTTTTTCTAGTAAACATTAAAATAAGTGCATAACTTTTGAAGTAACAAATGTTTTTTTTTTTAATAATTTTTTTTTATTAACGTTTTTTATTTATTTTTGAGACAGAGAGAGACAGAGCACGAACGGGGGAGGGGCAGAGAGAGAGGGAGACACAGAATCGGAAGCAGGCTCCAGGCTCTGAGCCATCAGCCCAGAGACCGATGCGGGGCTCGAACTCACGGACCGCGAGATCGTGACCTGAGCCGAAGTCGGTCGCTTAACCGACTGAGCCACTCAGGCGCCCCTGAAGTAACAAATGTTTATGTAGCATTTAAAATCATCTTACAGACCACAAGTGGAATGCAGAGGCACTTTAGGGAAATGCTGTTGTTACTTTTTCCACTAATGGATTTGTTCATCTCTGTGACAAAACCTCATTGTAGCTTCATGGTATGTTCTGTTGTTGTTGATGTCTTATTTTGAAATCATTTTAGACTCACAAGAAGTTGTAAAAATAGTACAGAGAGGTTTGGCAGAGAGGTCCTGTGTACCCATCACCTTCTCTCGAAGGTGGCAACTTACGTATTTATAAAACATTGTCAAAATCAGGAAATTGACATTGGTACAATATAATTGACTAGACTACAGACCTTCCTCGAATTTCACCCATTTTTCCATGCACTCATTTTTTGTCTTCATATATAGTTCTATGAAACTTTTATATGAAGCCACATTTATAGACCTATATGACCACTACCACGATCAAAATACAGGACTGTTCTGTCACCATCAAGGAACTTCCTCAGGCTACCCCTTGACAGTCACACCCTCCCTTACCTAACCTCTGGCAACCATGGATCTGCTCTCTCCCTCTATAACTTTGTCATTGTGATAGTGTTCTATAAATGGACCCATGCAGTACATAATCTTGAGAACTGACTTTGGTTTTCTCCACTCAGTAGAATTCCCTGGAGATTCACCCAAATTGTCACATCTGTCAATAGTCATTCCTTTTTATTGCTGAGTCATATCCCATAGTATAACTGTACCCCAGTTTGCTTAACCATTCACCTATTGAACATTTGGCTTGTTTCCATTTAGGGACTATTATAAATAAATAAAGCAGCTATGAGCATTCATGTATAGGTTTTGATGTGAACCTAAGATTTTGTTTCTCTCGGATAAATGCCCACGAGTGTGGTCACTGGGTTTTATGGTAAGTGTATGTTTAACTCTTTGAGAAACTGCCAGGTCGTTTTCCAGAGTGACTGCACCATTTACATTCCCACCAGCAGTGTAGAAAGATGTACTTTCTCTGTATCCTCACCAGCTTTTGACACTCTCAGTATTATTTCTTTTAGCTATCCTAATATGTGTCTCTTGTGGTTTTAATTCATCTTTCCCTAATGGCTGGTGATGTTGAATATCTTTCATATGCTCATTTTTATGGCACGTTTTGATATCTGGCGGGCAAGTTGCCTTTCTTATATGATTCCTGCCTTCCTTGACCCTGAGAGGAAGAGCTAACCTTGGCTGTTCCCTGAGGCAGGAATGCTTGTGTTAGCTCTTCCACAAAGAAGAAAGGGCGAGGGACATCTATGATTTGACCTCAGTGGTCTGGAACACAGGCTTAGAGCTCTAGGTGGGCTCCAGGAGGCTCTCTGGGAAGAGGATGTAAAGCTTCCAGCACCACATACAACACCCACCACCCCTCCTCCAGTCCACACCCCCCAAAAACACTTCTAATAAAATCAGTGCCTTTGGATATGGAGTCATTTGGGTTTTGTGAGGGAAGTTCTGAGACTGGTCCCACAGTTGGAAATAATAGGATCTGAGCAAAGGGGACCCAGTTGATGGGGCCGCAAATATTACCCCACCTTTTCAGAATGTAGAAAGTACTGGAGAGGGAGAGCTTGAGTTGTCCCAAAAGGCCTGTGGGGTTTCCACCTCCACTCCAAGAGCTGGGCCCATGTCCATCTGATGTGCTCTGCCCAGTGTGGGGGGGAGGGCCACCTCTGAGAGTGACCGCATCCCCTGACCCAGACACATCTTCTTCCCATGGTTGACTGAGCACAAAGGTTCTTGAGAACCTCTGAGATCAGGGGCAGGACTTGCAAGCCAGGAGGAGCTAACACATACCGTGGAGGAGTAAATGTTAGCTGGCCGGGGCAGGAGCCAGGAAGAACCACTCTCATAAATCATATGGTGGAGGATTTGGAGGGAGAGATGTTAGACTCATTCTCTAAAGCAGGGATTCTAAAAGTAGAATCTATAGTGGTGAGGCTCACAGGAGCCTCCTGGCAGACAGCAACATTCCAAATGCAGGTCCTTTCCTATGTCTTCCAGGGCACTTGATGAACCCATCCAGAAGATTCCATTTTTTTACCCATGACCAAAGGTCTCTTCATTATAACCTATCCATTGAATCATTAAACATTGCTAAAAGAGGGTATTCGTAAAGGAAAATAAGGTTGTTTCTAGAGCTTATGGAACACTGTCAGTGTGACCTCGGGGAGGTTATTTAAAATGTGTTCCTCCATTTCCCTATCTGTAAAATGGGACTAATAATAGTTCCAGCTTCACTGAGAACATTGGGAAGTTTCAAGTCCTCAAAACCGTGCCTGGCCTCCAGCAAACACGGCCCAGGTGTCAGCTTTCCTTATGACTGAAACACGAGCAGCCAGGCCACTCGCTTCTGGCCACACAGCAGAATGTGTGACCCCCCGGGGGAGGGTTAAAACTCCCCCAACCGTGGAGGGTTGCTCTGTCACCTGTGCTTGATCAGCAGTGCCTGCGTTGGTTGATCAGGGCTGCCTTGAGCTGGTGGGTTTTCTGCCAACACTCATCTTTCTCCCTAATGGTAAACTACTGTTAGTTCAGCTTCATTGTCAGCAGTGTCATGTGCTGGGAATGGTTTGCTAAGTCCTACAGAATACGAGACTGCATATTTCCATGTGCCAATTTTTGACACAAATAACTAATAACTAGATTTCCAGCTATCCGAGTGTGTGGTTCAAACATGTTATCATCTCTGCCCCTATTGCTAACGCTGATGTATATATACAGCCCACCCTCCCCCAAATCATATTTTACTTTTGCTGAACACTTTGTTGCCATTTCTCAGTTCTTTAAGTGGAAGTATCTGGTGAACGTAGGCTGCAAGGTTTTCAATGTCTCTTAAGTAGCCTCCAAAATTTTGGAGACTCTGTGCATGGATGGCATTGGTTTAGGATCCAGGGGGGTGGCCTATTGTTCAGGACGACGTACGTGGGGAGTGGCAGAAATCTCCTCTGTAGAAGGCACCCCAGCAGCTTGATGTAGTGGCAATGGTCCTTGGACTCCTTCCTGGGGACCCCAGCTTCCCAGGCTGCCCTCCGCCCCTCACCAGCTAGCCTCTTCATGGAACCCAGGAGGGTCTGGGGACTCAGGTGCTCATGCATGCATACACACCCAGCACAGGACCTGGCTCAGGACATCTCCTCCAGTAAGCCTTACCTGCCTGGTCATACCCAATGCTAGCCCATCCTTTCCTCTACACTGGAGGACTTAGTATATCTGTTTCCATTTATTCTTTTATTCTACTGAGGAAACAGAATCCTGGCTGGGTCAGAGTGAATTCTTTCTGCCCACGCTACGTGGTAGACTTGAAATTTGTAACAAGGCCCATTCACACACATATACCCAATAGACACAATATACTGCGTTGGATGATTAAAGAAGCTAGGTCCCGAGAGGGTAAGCAACTTGTCAGAGGTCACAGAGCCGGGCCCCGGCTCAACGAGCTCTCTGTTATTAGATCACACTGCCTCCTATTAATATGACTGTTGGTGGCCTATATCCTTAATTAGTGAACTAACCTGCCTCTTGTCATGGCCCCTGCAGATGCCAAAGGGACCATCCGGGAGATTGTCCTGCCTAAGGGTTTGGACCTGGACAGGCCCAAGCGGACCCGCACATCCTTTACGGCTGAGCAGTTGTACCGCCTGGAAATGGAGTTCCAGCGCTGCCAGTATGTGGTGGGCCGAGAGCGCACCGAGCTGGCCCGCCAGCTGAACCTCTCCGAGACCCAGGTAAGAGTGCAGGGCCAGGCCACTCCACCCCTGCCCTACAGCCTGGGAACTTCGTGGGGTGTGAGGCCAATGGGCTGCTGCAGGGAGACCCAGCTTTTGAGGAGTTCAGACACGCATTAGGGAAAGGCTTGGAGTTATAGGCAAACCAGAGCAATGAATATAGCGCTGACAAGAGAGAGCTGGCATATGCCAACAGGGGGCCTTCCAGATACGTCAGGCACTTTGGATGGAACATGGGAAAAGGCCAGAGAAATAGGAAGGAGGGGCATCCAGGATGCAGGGAGTTACTCAGGGCTGTTGGTGCGTGAGGGATCCTGCAGGAAAGGACGGTGAGGGGTTGGCTTGCTGGGAGCAAAGGTTCCGGGGAAGAGAAGAAATGATCCAAAATTGGATAGGGGACTTCTCAATTCCCCCTCCTGGGCTTCCTCCCCATCCTCCGTACATGCCCTGCATCCCACTGTGCCTCAGAAGCTCTTGCTGGAGAGAAGGAGTCTGAACACCCCCCCCCCTTTACTCAGGAATGCCTTCGCATTTTAACAATAATAAGCTTAACCCAAAGGAAAAGCTTTTGTAAAGTGAGCACCCCCTCTGCGCGAATGGAGGCATTTCAAGCTGGTAACAGAGACACATAATGATAACAATAATACTAATAATACCTAGTACTCACGGTGCGGAGGCAGGGCTCTAAGTGCTCTGCCTGCGGTAACTCACCAATGCCTCCCAACAACCCGATGATGTAGCTGCCTGTACTATCCCATTTTACAGAGGAGGAGAGATTATGCCCAAGGTCATACAAAGAATACGCTCCAGAGCTAGGATTGGACAAGCAGTCTGGCATCTTTATGCCACCCGTAAACTGGCAACCATCCTGGGACTTATAAAGAATGACTCGAGACCCTTAGTCAAGCAACAGCTCTGGTAGCTTAGCCTCATATATGAGGGAGCTCATGGATAGATGTATTACAGACATGACCAAAACAGGACTTACACAGGGTAGAGGCGAGGAAGGAGAGAGTGAGCAGGCAGACAGTCTGGAAGGGTGCGCTTCCTGGAGAAGGCTGTGGTGGGATATGCAGGGGTCCCTTCTGTGCCTGCTGCCGTGCTTCCCTTGGCACCCCCACTGCAATTCAGTCAGGACCGGCTGCTGTCCTGCAGGCCCAGGCCGTCTCCACCTGGACCTGTTGTCCGGCAGAGCCCCAAACAACACAGCAGATGGCCTGGGGCAGCGGGGGCCCTCCCTCCAGTGACACTCAGTCAGGAGGCTGGAAAGCCAGGCTCTGCCAGAGAGAGGGCTACGGTGGCTGGGCCCGGCCAGAGCTCCTGGGGGGACATCGGGCATAGAGTCACCCCTCAATACCTGCCCCTCTCGTCCTATCTGCCCTCTGCCCAGCCTAGTTTTGCCAGCACACTCTACCCTGAAACTTTGCTCTCCAAAGGCACCTCAGATGCCCAGCCCAGCAGCTCCTTCCCTGTCCTCATCTTTCCCCTGCCCTGCCCCCTATACGCCCGACATTTATCTGCCCTTGGTGGTCAGGGCCAAGCCCCTCCTCTTCCAGGAAGACTTCTTGACTTCATCCCAAGAGACCCTTCCACATGTCTTGGTAAAGTGTGTGTGTGTGTGTGTGTGTGTGTGTGTGTGTGTACGTGGTGGGCACCAACTAGCACACACTTCCCAAGAACAAGAATGTGTCTGAAAGCCACATCTCCACTTCAGGCCTCCATGGGGAGCTCAGAACACAGCTGAGCAAACAGTGAGCCCTCAGTGAATCCTCAACTTACTGACTTGCTTACCACTCCCCTTTCTTTTTCCCCTGTCCCCGGGGTCTTACAGGTAACACATGGTACAGGAAACCTCCGTTGAGACCTTCCCCTATACCGGGCACTGCTCCAAGGGCTTGACGTGTCCTAACTCATTTATTCCTCTCACCACAATCTTATGGGATGGGAGTGAGGTTTTCTCCAGACAGCACTTCTGACACCAAATGTGTGGTGTTTTCTAACACCAACAGCAACCAAGTCCCCCTTTCTCAATCACCAACTGGTACTCAAACTATTCAATTCAATTCTGACACTGGCTCCTGGAGTTAGCACAGACACTATAGGTTACAGCTCAGTCTCACAGGACAGTCCCACATCAGATGCCAGTTGCATGTCCCTGGGGCCACCTGTACTTCCGACTGGCCAGCTGAAACATTGGGGGTTCCCTCATCTTCCTCCTCGGGCTTGTCAATTTGTTGGAATGACTCACAGAACTCAGGAAAACACTTTACTTTCCTTTACTCATTTATTGTAAAGGATACAACTCAGGGGGGCACCTGGGTGGCTCAGTTGGTTAAGCATCCAACTCTCGCTTTTGACTTAGGTCATGATTTTGCAGTTTGTGAATCTGAGCCCTGCACGAAGCTCTTAGCTGGTGGTGTGGAGCCTGCTTGAGATTCTCTCTCTCTCCCTCTCCCTCTGCCCCTCCCCCTGCTCTCTCAAAATAAAGGAATAAA